ACTTAAAATGAATAATGGCCGAATTACATAAAATAAATTTTGAGTTAGTAAAAGAAGGGAAAGGTATTCACAAGGCGTATTTTGTCATTTGCTTGTATAAGCAAGGAAGCATTTATGTTTTATTTTTCTTGCTAAGAGTTACTTTAGAATCCAAAGCTTCCTTCAAGGTTTTTTGAAAAGACATTAGTCTCAATTTCAAAATCTTTAGGCCATTTGGGATCTTGAGTGTCTGAAGCTGTGAGTCCAGAAAATGAAGCATCAGTTGAAGTTGATTGCTGGGCATCACTATTATCCAACGTATTGAATATCCCAATATTTTCTTCAGCAGGTCTCTTCTCAACTGCACATGCACTTCTCATGTTCCTGAAACTGTACAGTAGCGATATTTAATCCTAACACAATAATAATTTTTCAATTAACCAACAAGTGCGTCTTAAGCTGATATATTTTGTTATTTTTACATAATTATCAGCAATTCATTATTTATAAATAAAATATTTGAATTTTTTATTTATTTTCGGTAAAACAATTATGATAAAGAATAGCTATCTTGCCTTTCATCCTCCACAATTCCAGGGTTGCAGTCATAATCAAAAACAAATTTCAACAGGCCACAATCCGGAAGATCTCCACATTCCGTTTCACAGAATGTATTGTATTCTGCATGCTGTTGCCGGCGCTATGGAATGCTTATGTCGGGTTCTTTAGTCTCTGGCAACAATTTAGGTGAATGAAAGTTTTCTTCTTGCTATGGATGTATTGTTGAAGCACGGGGCAGTGATTACAGATGCAGTTGCGAATGGAATGAAATGTAACCAGACATTGGGAGCATGAGTGAGGTATTTGAGCTGCAAGAGATAAAACATATAATCAATAAAAGTAAAATCAAATAAAAGAACCTCACTCACAGCAGTTAATTAAAACCAAAAACCCTTAGTATTGATAAAACAATCAAGCTGCAAGCACTAAGTTTAACTTAGTTTGAATATAATTGATAATATGAGTGCACAAGAGTAACGCGAGAGAGAACACACAAGAGATTAAAGTGAACCAAGGTAAACGGCACAATTGCAACTGTGGTAATAACAGCAACTTATTGGGAGAACACGTACGTAAATTGAAAACAGTTTGGTATTCTCATAATAAAATAGCAAGCATTGAAATTAGAAGATTGAAATAGTACTTTACAATGTCACTGATCAAGCACATGCATGAATAATATAATTATTGGAATTTTTCCCGTGCCTGAAAATAATAAAGAGAAATATTTGGTATTGAATTAGAACATATACATTGAGTGAACAAATGAATAACAGATTTGGTTTGCGATGAAAAATACTGAAATAACCACCCGGCTACAATGCCACATTTCCAGATGAAAGTTATGGCTTTTTAATTGCCCAATTTTTTTAAACGTTGCTTTGCAATTTGATGGAGATTTTCATTTACATCCCCTTTCACCATAAACTTGCGATTTTGGTTTTCAATCAGGTACTGAAACATTTTTCTACCTATAAATTTGATTCTTTCTTCCTGCACTGGGAAGAAATGCATCAAGGATACAAAATTAAGTTGTCCTTCAACTTCATACATTGGAAGGGGGAATATAGACTTTAAATTTTCTGATTTAATATTTTCATAACTGAAGTTCTCTTCAAGGCATATGCATGGAAGTGCAAAGCAAGATGGTCAGTAATTAAGGCATTTGCAATAAAATGAATTTGACCATGCAAATACAACACCTCATGGATTTCATTGAATTCTAGCTCATTGTCTGATCCTGTGACAACAACTGCTCCTTGCTCGTGCATCAAACCATGGTATCTCACCCATTTTGAGATGGGGATTAAGGCTTGTCCTTGAGCAATAGGTGAGAGGAGAACTTTCATTCTCTCATCCAAAATTTCCACTGCCACCATCTTGGTTAGCTTAGGAAAATCTATATTGTGTTCCTTCAAATAATCCTTATTTCTATGATGAAAGCACTGGAGGAATTGATATTGATGTCTATTGACAATAGACTTACAAGTGTTTCTACAATTCTTAGAAATTCTTTTTACTGATTTCAAAGTTTCATGTTTCCCTTCAAATCTCATAGTAGATTGATGTATGAGAGGTCCAAAAAGTAAATACTGAGTACAATAGTTCACTAGATAATGCGCTTTTAGTTTCACTGACAAATCAGGGTTGAGTTATAAAAAATTGCTAAGAAACTCAGAAATTAATGAATGTTTCCAAAAGACAAAGAAGGAGCTAAAATAAAATCCAGAAGTTCCAGAAATTCAACACAGCAAGACCAGTGTGGATCATTTCTTGGGATTTTTTCTGTCACAAAAAAAAGGAAGCATTTTTACATGGGTTGCACACTAGGTTGCAGTTTGTTTCACTCTCAGTCCACCAGACTTGACTCTGTTCAACGGACCAAGCTTGTTTCTTTTGTCACGCCCTGTGTAAGGGAAGTTTTCAATCCTGTTATTCAAAAATTTTAAAGTGAAATCTTTCATAGAAAAGCAATGGTTCAGCACTGCTTGACAAAGATCTAAACAGAATCCTTCAAAAAAGGTCATGTGAAATATCACTGGGAATGCTCCAGCACACATGAAAATGTTTCAGGGTATTTAAAACCGAGGTTTTATACTATAATGGTTTTAATACTATATGCGGTACACATTTCATTGTTTTGTTCAACTATTCTGGCAGATTCATTTCAACTTCCCTCTAATTGTAGATCAAATTCTTCTTCAGTAAATTTCTCTCTATCTTTGTTTTGTTCCCAAGCAGAACCGGCTGATGCGAAGGGAACTGAAGCTCTCCACAAAGCCTCCCAGTTCATGGGCTGCGAAATTATCACTGATAACCATTGAAATTGTTCCAAAGAAATTAAACTTTTCAGAAGATGTTTCTACTGTCAGCCCTTGCTCTTCCAAAATCTGCATGTCTGTGATGAATTTTTCCAATATTCTGACAAAGTCATATTTTTTTATTTTGGAACTTTTAGTCAACATCAATACCTGAAAAGTGTATAAGTGGCAACGCAAATGAGGTGGAATATTACCCAAGGCCCAATACATGGCACAAATTTTTTTTTGTGGCAGTGTCAAGAAGATTGACGATAGGTAAAATATTGTGATAAATTTGCACCAAGTAACAGAAATAAGTGACTATGTCTGTATATAATTTACTTCATATGTTATTGCCTCATAATGTTAAATGTCTAATTTAGACACAACAATTATTCTATGTTATGATTCAAATTTTCAAATCGTCTGAACACTCAGCAATTTCTTTGACAGGGTAAGTAGGCCATGTCTAAGAGTCTGCATGAACTGAACGCTGGGCTTGGTCTGACACATCTCCATTGAGTGGCCATATATACTTGAATTTTCCACTCTTTGGAAATAACCAAATACAAGGCACTACCTGCCAAGTGCCATCATTAAAGTATATCCTACTGTATCGCCATGAAATAAATACCTAATGCAACATGATAAAATTTAGTTCAAAAATAACATTGAGGTTTTCGCTTTTCATTTTATTGATCTAGCGGTGGTACAATTCATTTCTACCATAGTTCATCATGGATCACTTCATCATTCAGTCAAAACCTTACTATAAAAATATTATTGATTTCTGAAATAAAGATAAGTTTCTATCTTAGATCTTTTTAGTTCGGCATTTTCAGAGCTAAAATACTTTTTCTACATAGCAGGAGAACAATAATCCACAAATACTGCTGATTGGCAAACATTTAGCATTTGCTCTGTTAGACACCTTAAGGATGCCAACATTTGAAGAATCAGTAGGCTGCTAGGCATAAGGAATGCAGCATCTTTTCTTCCAAAAGTACAGTCATTGATGTTATTCTGAGTATATATTCTACTCTAAAAAGACAACATAATATAAAAAGACAATATAATATTCTAAGTTATTGTTGTAAAAAACCCAATCTCCCTATTCTTTAAGATCACATCATTGTCTCTAGACATCACAGGAGAAAATTTGCAAGTTGAAGGGCCCAAAATTACAGATTCAATACATATTTCTTCCACTGACTTTTTGGCTGTGTATTGCTCCTTCCAAACTATATTTCATTGTGTGGGAGTGACTTTCGAGGCAACTAGCATTTAGTTCGCGGTAGTTAGGACACTCATAGTAATTTGCTTGAGAGCCCGAATTCTACCATGCAGATATCCTTTAATATTAGTCCCCATAGAAAATGTTTTTTTTAAATGACTTCAAACAAGCGAGCGTCTGATGCACCAAGGGTGCATTTTCGTCCTGTATGTATTCAATCAAGGTCTGCTCAATTTTTCGTCAGATGTCAAATTTTTATCATCGCCTCCCGAGAGCTGAAATCGGTTTCAGAAACACCACAGTCACTTGAGTCACCATCACTTGACCATTGACTTGTTCTACTGTTGCGGTTATCTGTTGATGAACCTGAGGTAGTTATTCCACCAACACATTGAATTTCAACTTCGGTATTTTCTAGTTTCTCTTAGCCAATTCAATCATCACTTAACATCAACATAACTCACCATTGCGAGGTCTAGATCGTCTTTGTGCCAACGAATAAAAACGGGATAATTGTACATGGGACCAATTGGATATTTTGTACAGTGATTAGGCATGCTCGTACTCAAACGCCTCGGAGACTAGTGCGCAAGGCTTTCTGACCTTGGCTATAGATTTTCAGCCCTTGGGCAGCCTATAGGCTCCCGGTAGACCCCTCCCCTGTTATACTCTCAGGTGACCATAAATTCGGCCAGAAGATTCTGACTAGTTGCTGACTTCAGTTGAGTTACTCAGTATTACGTCAACCTGACTATAGCTAGTTTTGCGCAAAGCTCTCTCATGCCGAAAATTTTGCTGGGAGCAGTAGGTTGCCGATTTGAATCATCTCAAAGCCGAGTGTCGTGAGCCTCGCGCTTCCCTAAACTGAATCTGAATTCAGGCTGTGGGGTGCTGGTGCCGGGAGTGCTAAGCTTCCGGTACCCAACATGGGTGCGAGGGTGCTGGCGCCGGGGGTGCTGAGCATCCTTTACACCCACAGAGACGCGGGGTGCAGGTGCCGGGTCTGTTGAGCTTCCTTTACTCCCACAGAGACGCGGGGTGCAGGTGCCGGGTGTTTTGAGCTTCTTTTACTTTCACAGAGACGCGAGGGTGCTGAGATTCACGAATAGGGTTCATAGGTATCCTCACAGGGAGGCGGAGTTGCTGGTGCCGGGTATACTGAACTTCCTCAACCCCCACCGAGACGCGGGGGCTGAGCTTCCTTAACCTCCCACAAGGACGCGGGGATCCTGAGCTTCCTTTACTCCCCACAGGGAAGCGGTGGTGCTAGTGCCAGGGTTGCTGAGCTTGCACTACCCCCACAAGAACGCGGGGGTGCTGCTGCCGGCGTTGCTGGGCTTCTTTTACCCCCCGCAGGGAAGCAGGGTGCTAGTGCCAGGGGTGCTGAGTTTCCACTACCCCCACAGGGACGCGGGGGTGCTGGTACCGGGGGTGCTGAGCTTCCTGGTGTGCGTGTCGTGCGAACGGCAACGCGGTACCAGTGCCGTTACCATCCACAACCTCATCCAGCTGTGCGACGGTCTGATGGCCAGCGGCCAGACCCCTCTGGCCACGTGTGAGTTTAATGGTCCGGAGGCCCTGCGGCCAAGCCCTTTTGGTCATCCGTGAGTGTGATGTGCTGATGGCCCTGCACTAGAGGTCACGTATCTCTGATTTATATCAAGCATCCTAAATTTGAATATCTAAAATTTTAGTATTTTCATTAAATGCTGCCGTAGCTCTACTGCCGTAAGTCAATTTTTAATTCTTGATACATAGTTTTGGCGTTATAAACGATCGTTTTTTACTGATGAGGTTCATTGTAGCCTTTTCATATGAGGTTCATTGTAGCCTTTTAGTTACGGTTCGAATGGAATTCGTTTTGAGTTTGTGGGCACTTTGAGTGATGCACCGTTAGTGTAAAGGCTGAACAATTACTCCAGTCCTCCCACAATTCCACTGTAACGGATGACTGCCTGTACAGGCGCCCTGGCCCTGGGCCCGCTCGTGCAGTGTGTGTTTGGCCCCGACGGTCCCGGTGGGGGGCCAGGCCCCCGAGGCTACGAATCCCTCGACTCTTCTGACGTGGGAGAGCTCGCCGCCAAGCGGGAGGTGCTCAGCCGCACCCTGCTCAGGCTTGCACACCATCCCCAGGTGGGTAGCACCCTAGCCCATCACCCCTAGTGGGTTGCTCTCCTGGCACACCCACCCCCCAGGTGGGTCGCTTTCATGAACCACTACCGCAAGTGGGTTGACATTCAGGCCTACCACCCCCAGAGGGTTGCTTTCTTAGCAACACGATTTCCAGGTGGGTTGAATACCTGACCTCACCTTTGTTTCTCTCATGGCTCACCACTTCCAGGTATAAGGTGGAATGCTTAGCTCACCACCTCAAGGTGTGTTACCCTTTTCTGGTCCCGCATCTAAGGCTCACGTAAAGGTCACACCCGCTAACCCATTCACAAGATACGAAACATTTCCTAGCACAAGCTCAAGGCATGACTCATCACGGGGAATGATTGCAGATTTGGGCGTATCTTAAAGTAAAATATTACAATTACTCAAAAATGAGATCTGTAAAATTAAGCTAACACTCCAATGAAAAAATTCTAACCTGTGAATAATAACTGAAATTAATTCAATACAATTTTGAAATTTTTTACAATGCTAACCTGCCTCACCCGTTGATAACACGGCAGGTGCTGTGCTAACCTACCTCACCCGTTGATAACACGGCAAGTGCTGTACTAACCTGCCTCACCCGTTGATAACACGGCAGGTGCTGTGCTAACCTGCCTCACCCGCTGATAACACGGCAGGTGCTGTGCTAAGCCTCACCCGTTGATAACACGGCAGGTGCTGCCCCTGCTGACAGTGATGGTGCAGTCAGCTCAGGAGCAGAGTGAGACGCGCTGGCTGACAGTGTCCAGGGAAGTGTCAGCCGCTATCCTGCCGCTGCTGCGTCAGCAGCTCCTGCAGCTGCACACCCACGTACGTCTTCATACGTTGTGCTTAACAATACGGTGAAAATATTATATCTAATCTTTAAACAACTTTGAATTAATTATTCTATTATTCATATCACTAACTATATGCAGCTGCATACCCACGTACGTCCTCATACGTTGTGCTTAACAATACGGTGAAATATTGTTTCTAATCTTTAAACAACTTTGAATTAATTATTGTAATAATTATATTACTGACAATTATAGAACATGTTATATTTCTAATCATTAAACCACTCTGAAATAATTATTATATTAATTATATTACTGACTATAATTGAAATTGTTGATATTCGACGACTAACTTCATGTATGGAAAACTTATATGAATGCATTTTAATAAATTATCACACTTCCACCACCGCTTAACAAGTCGAAAGGATACGATAGCACCAATTATAAAATTAAAGGGATACTGAGAGACTGATACTTTGATAGACTTGACTTTATCTTACATCCTACGTGATACTCTTACAAAAACAGCTCAATATAAATTGTCACTTTAATGTCTTAATACCTCACTGTATTGTCTTTATACGTTAAACACTGTTATTTTATTAACAAAAATCTGAGAATAACTAATGTATAGATGATTTAAATTGGTTCCAGATCCCGATACAAAGTCATGTGTTCATAGAATGTGTTCATAGTCAGTCTACCATTGAATCATGTTGGCAAACAGCGTGACACGCTGCGCATGTGTCATTGCAGTGAAGTTCTCTGAAAGCATGTAGGAATGAAACTTTTTAATGCCTAAGTAATACTTCATAATATCAACCAGATTGTTACCAAACTAATACTACTTAACATCAACCTGACAGTTCTTAATACCAAACTAATACTTCTTAACATCAACCCGACACTTCTTATTACCAAACTAATACTTTTTAACATCAGCGCAAAATGATAAGTAATCCTTCTTATCAAACTCTTCCGCATCCCCCCCCCCGCAGGAGGCGGTGGGTTGCCTGCTGGCGCTGCTGTGCTCCCTGGCGCCCGCTGTGTACGCGCCTCCTGACCACCTCCTCACGACGCTGTTCTCTGCTCCCCCGACGCATGTGAGTCTACACGCATTCTCCACATGCATTCTTCACGTGCACGCATTCTTCACATGTACGCAATCTTCACATGCAAGCATTCTTGACATGCATTCTTCATGTTCAAGCAATCTTCACAAGGGCATTCTTCTCATGCACGCATTCTTCACATGCATTCTTCACATGCACGCATTCTTCACAAGTACGCATTCTTCACATGCACGCATTCTTCACAAGTCTTCACATGCACGCATTCTTCACATGCACGCATTCTTCACATGCACACATTCTTCACATGCACGCATTCTTCACATGCACGCATTCTTCACATGCGCGCATTCTTCACATGCACATTTTTCCTAAACCTATAGATTCTTTATACACGCACATACTGCAGACATCCGCTTTTTTCACCCGCGCGTTTTCATTTATCGCACAAATTACACGCGCCCATTGTTCACGCTCACGCCTTCTGTACACGCGCATACATTTTGTATGCGCATGCACAAGTGCATTGCGCGCATTAAAATCCACCCATGCCTCACGTACACGCCCACGGCCACGCTGTAAGCCCCGCCCATCAGCCACTACATAGGATGTTTGCAGCTCGCTGGGGCTCGAACCCGCGAGGTCCTTACTCAGTGAAAAATAAAGGGATCACGGTGTCCTAATAATGACTCACTTGCTGAACGTAACCTCGATACGCTCCTTTGCGAGGCCAAACTGAGTCAGGATGACCCATACAAGAGTAAAAAATATAACTCAGTACTCACTGCAGTGAGTGACAGAGAGCGCATTTTCTCGTCGACGAAAACGTGAAGTCACGGACGGACGGACGGACAAACAGACAGACGGACGGTTATACAGACAGACGGACGGACGGACATGGCGAGCACAATAGTGCATTTTTCCATAAATGAGAAAATGCGCTAAAAAGTAAATCACAGTTTGGACAAATTCCACCCAGTGCTGACGTGCCCCCCTAATGCCCCTCCCCTCCCCCCTGGTGGTGCAGGACAACAGTGGGGCGGTGGTGCGGTGGGTGGTGGGTGTGGTGGTGGTGATGAGGGTTATAATCACCCACTGCCCCGCGCCTCTTGTCCTCGCGCGCCTCGCTGACCTGCGCCTCTCCGTGCACCTCATCCCCCACGACCCCCCGACCTCACCCCCTGCCATGGGTGCGGCGCCCCTGTCCCCGGGGGATGAAACACGTGGGGGCAAATCCTCCCCACATCCCCCCGAAGAGGGCACCGTGTCCCCCCATGTGGGGGTCTGCAGCCCCGCTCGTCGCCAGCTCCCCCCAAAGCTGACCCCCGCCAACGCGTCCCCCCAACGCACCCCCTCCAGGCGGGTGCCCGTGCAACACGACCCCCTGCACGCCACCCAGCCCCCCCTCCGGCCCCCCCGCGCCATGGCCANATATTATATTATATTATATTATATTATATTATATTATATTATATTATATTATATTATATTATATTATATTATATTATATTATATTATATTATATTATCCTATATTATATTATATTATATTATATTACATTAATTATATATATTAAGTACCTAAATAATGTTATGTTGCTCACTCTGCGTGTTGCGCAGGTTGCTGGTGGAGGTGTTGCGCGTGTGTTGCAGCGAGTTGCGCAGCGCGTGTTACCTGCAGTGTCAGGAGGGGGGGCAGGATCCCCCAGCTGATGGGGGAGAGGAGGGTGACCCCCACCTCCCCCACTGCCCCACCCACCACGACACACTCCTCGCCACACTTGCCCACCAACTGCTGCTGGTGCTGCTCTGGATGAACCAGCACGGTGGGTGACGGCGTGGGTGACAGCCTAACATGTGGTGGGTGACAGCGTCGTGGGTGACAGCCTAACATGTAGTGGGTGACAGCCTCACATGTGGTGGGTGACAGCCAAACATGTGGTGAATGACAGCCTAACATGTGGTGGGTGACAGCCAAACATGTGGTGAGTGACAGCCTAACATGTGGTGGGTGACAGCCTAACATGTGGTGGGTGACAGCCTAACATGTGGTGGGTGACAGCCTAACATGTGGTGGGTGACAGCCTAACATGTGGTGGATGACAGACAAACATGTGGTGGGTGACAGCCTAACCTGTGGTGGGTGACAGCCTATCCTGTGGTGGGTGACAGCCTAACATGTGGTGGGTGACAGCCTAACATGTGGTGGGTGACAGCCTCACCTAAGGTGGGTGATAGCCTCACCTGTCGTGGGTGACAGTCTCAGCCGTGGTGGGTGACAGCCTTACATGTGTTGGGTGACATCCTCACCCGTGTTGGGTGACAGCCTCGCCTGTGGTGGGTGACAGCCTTACATGTGGTGGGTGACATCCCCACCCGTGTTGGGTGACAGCCTCGCCTGTGGTGGGTGACAGCCTTACATGTGGTGGGTGATAGCCTTACATGTGGTGAGTGACAGCCTAACATGTGGTGGGTGACAGCCTAACATGTGGTGGGTGACAGCCTCACCTATGGTGGGTGACAGCCTTACATGTGGTGGGTGACAGCCTCACCTGTGTTGGGCGACAGTCTCAGCCGTGGTGGGTGACAGCCTTACATGTGGTGGGTGACATCCTCACCCGTGTTGGGTGACAGCCTCGCCTGTGGTGGGTGATAGCCTAACATGTGGTGGGTGACAGCCTAACATGTGGTGGGTGACAGCCTAACATGTGGTGGGTGACAGCCTAACATGTGGTGGGTGACAACCTCACCCGTGGTGGGTGATATCGTCGTGGGTGACATCGTCGTGGGTGATTTTCGATCATAAATGGGCCCAGATTGGTAATCATGTTGATTAAATCATATCTTAATTCATTGTGAGACCGATTACGTCAATATTTGTTAATAAATGTCAGTAACATCCTTACATGTGGTGGGTATAACGTCCTCACCCATTGTGGGGGACGGTCTCACCCGTGGTGGGAAGCGACCCCACCTGTGGTGGTTGACGTTATGGGTGACAGCCTCACCCGTATAGTGGATAACGATCTCACCCATTGTGGGTGGGGTATCGATTTATATCCTTGATCTGCCTTTAGTAGCCTGCACCAATAGCCCCAATATCCATCACTATAATGCCTTGTTTGACTGACTAAGCGATATATTTTAACCCCACATATCTTTGAGTAGCAATAAATGTCATAAAAGCTATAAGATTTATATGTTTATGGCATTTATATAATAAATGCCATAAACGCTTCAAGGTTTGTACCAAAAACATATATTACCGCAGACGAGTGGCGTGTGGTGGCGGCAGAGGTGGGTGAGGGGGGCGGTGGGGGGGCTCTAGGTGAGGTGGGTGAGTGTGTGCTCAGCGTCCGTGCTCAGCACCCGTCGCTCTGCGTGCTCTGCTGTCAGCTGCACTCTGCGCTGGACCTGTCAGCGCGTCAGCTCTGGCGACATGCGCTGACGTCGTCAGCACCGAGCACTGCTGTGGCTGCTGGGTGAGTGTTGCTGCTGCTGTGGCTGCTGGGTGAGTGTTGCTGTGGCTGCTGGGTGAGTGTTGCTGCTGTGGCTGCTGGGTGAGTGCTGTTGCTGTGGCTGCTGGGTGAGTGTTGCTGCTGTGGCTGCTGGGCGAGTGTTGCTGCTGTGGCTGCTGGGTGAGTGTTGCTGCTGTGGCTGCTGGGCGAGTGTTGCTGCTGTGGCTGCTGGGTGAGTGTTGCTGCTGTGGCTGCTGGGTGAGTGTTGCTGCTGTGGCTGCTGGGTGAGTGTTGCTGCTGTGGCTGCTGGGCGAGTGTTGCTGCTGTGGCTGCTGGGCGAGTGTTGCTGCTGTGGCTGCTGGGTGAGTGTTGCTG